ATATTTTATTATAATAAGTATTTGGCTATTAGTTTTATTCTTTTTATTTTAAATATTTTTTATAAAATTTAGTTTTTTTTAAAAGATATATTTAAGGAATAAAGAAATGAAATTTATTGATAATTTAATTTTATTGATTGTATTATTTTATTGAATGTTAAAAAAATAATAATATCAATAAAAATATTTAATTAAAACAAAAATAAAGTTTAAAATTGATATTTAGATTTTAGTATTGGGTTAGGATTAAAATAGAAAAAGAATAAAAATAATAATTATATAAATAATAAAATTTATATGAAATGAATAGAATTTGGAAGAAAAAGACGATAAAAATAATAAATAAAAAAAAAATAATAATAATTAAAAAAAAATAATAATATAAATATTAAATAAAATAAATAAAAAATAAAAATAGAATAAATAAAAATAGTTAAAATAACAATAACACATGTGGAAATAATATTTATGACATTTTAGTGGGGAAATAAAAACAATTCTCATTTATCAATATAAATATAATAAAGAAGATAACGACATAATTTAATTCTAATTACCATTTATATCAACATTAAACATTTTATTAAAAATATGTTGACCAAATATCCTCATTTCTCATAAACATATATGAACACAGATAAACAACAATAAAAACAAGAATTTTCATCATCATCCAATAAAATTGAATCAAATCATCAATCACTTAAAAAAACTGCACTGATGCAAACCACATTTTACTAATAAAACAATTGATTTTCAAAAGAGTGGCAATTGAATCATCAAAATTACCTATAATAATTTGTAATTTCTCCATTATGTCATGTTTAATTAATAAAATTGGTGTCGCTTTTGGTTGAAATTTATTGAATTTAAATCTCAAATTGATGACAACAACATATTTATGCTAAAATATAATCACATCAACATTTTATAGATGTAAAAAAAATTAAATATAAACTATTTTTAATAAACCCCACACCACAATTTTTATTTTTTTATTTTTTTTTTAAAAATTATTTTTTTTATTTTTTCCTTTATGATTACATAAAATCTATTTTGAGGGGTTTTTAAAAAAGTATAAAAATTATATATATTTTATAATCTAGTTTGTATATTAGATATGACATCAACACCAAATTACAAAATTAACAAATGTTATTTTTCAATTTGATTTTGTCTTTTCGTTTTTAAAAACCCCATTTTATTTTTAAAATAATTAAAATTAAATAACAAAAAATTAAAAATTATAAATAGGAATTTTCAAATCATTACCTAATCCATCAATTCAAATCATCAAATCAATATAACTAAAATAAAAAAATAAATTTTAGTATTTCATTTATTTATTCAACTTTATTTATTTAAAAAAAAAAATCAACTTATTTATTTAAAAATGTTATTCAGTATGTATTATTTAATTTTTTTTTTGAATTTAAAAAATAATTTAAATATTAATTTTTTTTTCTACTTTTAGAATCAATTATTTCATTATCATCATCATCATCATCATCATCATCATCATCATCAAATAAATTAAGTGTTAACAATAATTTAAATGGTGAATTTGTTTTAAATACAGTTTCAAGTGCCAATAAAAGTTCAAAATATACTGCTGCTTATTTCACTCGTCCACACTTTGAATTTTAAAATATAAAATATGTTTCATAATAAAATGTATATATTCTGGCCGAACTGTATTAAAACTCTAATTATATATTAAATTTGTACAATTAAAAAAATAAATTAAACTCATTTTTAAAATATAATTTTTTTTTTTTTTATATTATTTTTATTTTTTTTTTAATTTTAAATAAATTATATTTTTATTTTTTTGAATAAAACATATGAGATTAAATTTAATCATTATGATAATTGTCATTTTTATAAATTTTAGCTTAATAATTTTAAATCTTTTTTTGTTAATTTCTTTTAATAATTAACCAATATTGGTTATTGGTTAGTTTCAGGTTTATGTATAGATATTCCTGAATAACTATAGGTGATACTGGAGACGGTGTTGGAGAAGTGTTGTATTATACTTTAGTACCTAATGTGAGTGTTGTGAGACTATTTGGTATTTAATTATTAGTCATGAACTGACCACTTTATTTATAGTTTTTTTTTAGTATTAATGTTATGTTTTTACTTTGTTTAGGAATTCATTGATTCACTTGGTGCGGACATATTGATTATTACCTTGGCTAATTTTTCGGTGGTAGTCAGAGCCAGCTTCTGTTCATATAAGCCAGGACCACTAAGATCAGTATCACAATCTTTGTGGTTTGGTCTAGTCTGTGTTATACCTGCAACGCATTCTGATTGATGAGACCGGACCGGGTATCGTTTAACGATTCATACCCATTTAAAATGGCAGAGTTCTGAATTTGGGTGGATATCAGGATCCAGATGTTTTTTTTCGGTGTTACTCCTCACCTTTGGTAATGTGCCGGGTTGGATTACTTGGTTAAAATCTCTGAAAATGAGTGTTGTAAGGCCATTTGGAAGAGTTGTTAACATTCTATAATTGTACAAATATAAAGTTGTCAAAAATGGTGGAAATTCATTTTTATCCGGTAGTGGATCACCATTCCACTTAAGTGATGTTATATATGATTTATCTTTAAACTGGTAATAACGGGCTTTATCAAGATCCACAACATTATGTTCAATAAACTTTAAAATATGTTTATGAATTTCATTTCATAAAAATATATTATTCCAAATTATATAAAATAATCTATAATAAATAGTTAAAAAGAGAAAACACCAACTAATATGCTTTTAATTAATCTATTATTAATTATTGTATTGTATTGTACCTATCACCATCACAACTACTGTTTTTTAACTCTTCATTTACTTGAAAGTTAATAAGAGATGATAGTAGCATTGTGAATATAAAAAAAAAAAAATAAAAGAAAAATAACAAAATATTTAAAAAAAATCTAAAATATTTTTTTAATTTATTTTAGATTTTTTTAATTTAATATTAATATTACACACTTTTTTTTTTTTTTAAATTTTTAATTTAAATTATAAATATTTTTTATAACTCACATACTCTGGAGTTATTTTGAAACTAATTGGATTATTTATTTTTCGGCCACTGATAAAAGTCATATTCAAATGTTTGCTTTTCATAGAGTTCGGAAGAATACTGTTCTTTTTCCTCTTTGATCAATTTATTTGGTGAATATTTAATATTTTTCTCTGGTTTTAGTTCTGTTGAATTTTATGCAGTGGTTGTAGAAGTTGTGGGTGGACAGACTTTAAGCTAATTTAAAATAAGATTAGTTCACAATGAAAATCTCTATATTTGTTTTTCTACAATCCACCTGGAAATAAACTTATTTGAATTTTTAGAGAAAAAATCAATGAATATAATAATAAACAAACCTAAATTAATCATAGAAAGCTTCGATTATAAATCTTTAACCTGAAAAGAATCTTTAAGATTTTATTCCTATAAAAATGGAAAATAACAAAATACATAATGAATATCTATAAAAAAAAGATTTTAATATAAAATTGAATTATTTTAAGGATAATCAACTATTTATTATAATAACATCACCAAAATGACAATTTCAATAAAATAAATTAAAGACATTTAAACCAAATAATTTCAAAAACATTGTACAAACACAAATTATTATAATATGTTATTAAATGATTTGAAAAAAAAAAATTGTACTATCTTTAACATTTTCTTTATTATGTATTTTTATAACAATGTATAGAAAATTATATATTGTATTATTTTGTGTAAATATGAGAGTGTGTGTTGGTGGGGGTAAAAATAATATTTAATTTTTTTTTTATATCGAGAATGGAAAAATGTGGGAAAGGGGGGACAAAAAAAAAATTAATATAATGTTTTTACTTATATTATATAATTTTTGGTTTTTTATTTTTTGTTTATACAAAAGTTTCATTTTGATTAATAAGAAATTAAATAACCTTATTATTTTAGGTTAAAATAAAAAGCAAAATTAAAATATCAAATAAAAAAAAACCAAATTCTAATCTTTAGTGAAGCGTTTAGATATGTTGTCAACATTGGATTACAATTAATTCAAGTTGTTTCTGAAATAATCAATTAAACGATTATTTCTAATATTATCTATTATTTTTTAGAAAAACTGGTGATTTTATTTAATTTTAATTTAAATATTTTTTAATTTTCTTTTTAATTTTAAAATTACTATCCAAAGTAAAAAATCACAATATAAAAACAAAAATAAAATCAATCAAAAATCATCAAAAACATCATCATCATCATATTAAAACAAAGTCCAAATACAAACAATATATTTATTTATTTATTTTTTTAATTTAATTTGATTATACTAAATATTTAAATTAAATTTTAATTTTTACTCTATTTTTTAAAAATTTTTAAAATACAACACACTTTTTTTTTATTTTATATATAATAATTATCTTTTTCTTTTTTATTTATAATGTTATTTATTTTAAACTACAAAATGTTATTCAGTAAGTATTTATATATCTAAAGAAATAAAATAAAAAGAGTATAACATCAACATATATTAATTGATATTTACTTTTATTTATAGAATCATTAGGTTCAATTGTAAATCAATCACAATCATCATCACCAAACTACAGTAGTAGCGAGGATAATTTAAATACTTGTACTTTTTCAAAATCACCAGTACCATCATCATCACCATTATCATCATCATATGGTTCAAATCATAATGCTCACACTAATCGTTCAAATGCACCATCAATGGTATTTTCAAGACCATACTGGAGCTCAACAAATGGTTTCTAAATCATCATTATCATGTGTTTTATAATATATAAAATGTATAAAATATGTACTTATATTTTCATTTTATTAATTTATATATTAATTTTTTATATAAAAAATTAGTATCAATATAATTGTATAATTAGTTTTTTATTTTTAAAAAAATAGTAAAGATAATAATAAAAAAAGATTATAATTATATTTTAAATACAATATAATCTATTAATTAATTTTTTAAAAAATATTAGATTTTATTCTTTGTGTATCTTTAAAAAAAAATTATTTTATGATATTAAAAAACAATTATTTCTTTTTTATTTTTATTTTTTACACACAATATATTAATTGTGATTACTTTACAAATATTCTATTATGTTTTTTATTTTTTATTATTATTATTTTATTTATAATATTTATTTAAACCAACCTTTTGAAGTTTCTTTTTTATAATTGCTCATATCTTTTTCATATTGTTCTAAATCTTCTAAATATTTGATTGGTGGCCATTGATGATCTTCGATATATTTCTTTGTTTTATCGTCTAATAATGAATATTCTTTACGTCTACGCATTGGTTGATAATTTGATGAAATGAAATGGAGGCAGAACTTTTCTAATTGGGATGCATTGTGTCTTTGAGCACAAATTAATAAACCAATGATATCTAATTCTGATCTAAAGATACCAATAAAAGTTGCTTTTTCAATTTCTTTAGAGATATATAATTCACAGAGTGATACTAAACGACGAAGATCGAAACGATTTGCCATAATTAAAATACCAACACTATCACCTTCTTCAATTGGAGCATGAGCAGTATAAAGATATTCGAGCACAGCCATGAAACAATCATAAGTAATATCATCGGACATTTCGACTTTACCTTCTCTTTCTATGAAATTACGACCAATTAATGCATTTACTACACTTGAACGTGAAAAAATTAAGGCCTTATGAGCGAAAATGGATCTACCCTCTACAATAAATTGAATATCTGAAAGTTGCTTCTTTGAGAAAAATAATTCTTTACAAGTTTCACCTAATTGATCATTTAAAAAGGTACCAATACTTGGATTTAAATCCTCACTACCTGATAAAATATTCTTGCATGCACTAACGAGATATCTAAATTTGAAGAGCTCACCTAATGTAATGGTTTCGTGAATTTGATCGTTTTTGTCTACATAGTGAACAATACCAGTATAAAGGAACTCTATAAATCTATTGAATACACGACGGCTAATGGAACCTTCAATGGCTACCTCTACAAATTGACCCGATGATTTAGTACCATCATCATTCTTTTCAGTGTCAGTAACGATCATACTACGAATTCCTGGTACCTTGCCATCATTAATATCGGAAAGTTTATAGGATGCTTGGTCTGATGACAATGTAAAGTCAAATAATCTTCTAAAGAATTCTGATGCTGAACATAAAATTACACGATGAGCAAATACTGGTCTTTCTTCAACAAATGTAAATTTAACGTCACTAAAAGTTTCACTATTTAAAGTTTCTTTCATTTCTTTATCATAACTGCTTGTAATAATATCGATCCATGGTGCTTTACCGGCTGGTGGCATAACTGGTGGTAAAGGCATTGGCTTTTCTTTAGATGAAGATGAAGATGAAAAGAAGCTTTTCTTATTTGAAGATGATGATTTTGATTTTGGTGCATTGATTGTAGAATTAATTGCCATTTGGAAACATTGTGATAAACCAGTTTGGGTGAGAGCACTGGTTTCAACATAGCAACTAAAGCCTAATTCTCTAACCAATAATTGTGCCTCAGCATTTGAAATTTCTGGTTTTCCTGAACCTCTTAAATCACATTTGGTTCCAACCAATACAATTGGAATATGTGGTGCATGATGTGAAATTTCTAAAAACCATTTACTTTTAACATTTTGAAAACTGGCTCTTGATATAATACTGAAACAAATTAAGAAAACATCTGTTTGTGGATATGATAATGGACGGAGTCTATCATAATCTTCTTGACCTGCTGTGTCCCATAATCCTAAATTATATGGCTTACCACTAATCATTACATTTGCAGAATAATTATCAAATACTGTTGGTACATATTCACCTGGGAATGCATTTGTTGTATATGCAATTAATAAACAACTTTTACTGTTATTCAAAAATAAATAAAAAAATAAATTAAAAAAAAAATAATATTAATAATTTGATTAAATTAAAAAATAAAAAAAATAAAAAATAAAAAATAAAAATTTTTACCCAACAGCACCATCACCAACAACTACTAATTTAATGGCTTGCATTTTTTATATATGAATATGAATATGAATAGAGAGAATTTGTAAAAATAAATTAATAAAGAAATAAAAAAATAAAATAAAAAAAGATATTAAACCAAATAAAATAAATTTGAAAAAATATAAAATAAAAAATAAAAAAAAAAAATAAAAAAAAAAGGGTGATTTTTTTTATTTTAATTTTTTTAGCTGAAATTTTTTTTTTGATCAATAATAACAATCGTTTCTATTTTTAAAAACACTCAACCTATAAAAAAAATTTTGATAACATAATTCTTTTAAAAAAAAATAAACATAAACATAAAAATAAAAATAAATAAAAATAAATAAAAATAAATAAAAATAAATAAAAGAAATAAAAGAAAAAATTTATAAATAAATAAAAAAAAAAATAAATAAAAGAAATAAAAGAAATAAAAAAAAATAATCTAAAAAATTTTAAAAAAAAAAATAGAAAAAAAAAAGAAAATTATTTTTAGATTTTTTATTTACACATTATTTTCTTGCAAAACATTACCATTATTATTATTATTATTATTATTATTACTACTATTACCATTATTATTATTATTATTATTATTATTATTATTATTATTATTATTATTATTATTATTATTATTATTATTATTATTATTATTATTATTATCAAAATTAGATAATATTATAACATTATTTTCTGAAGAGCTACTTGTTGTATCATTACCGATTGAAGATAATTTTGGTTTTTTTGGATTTAGAGTATTTTTTCTTTTATTATTATTACTATTTGAACCAGATGATGATGATGATAAATTAAAATGTTTATCTAAACCTAATTTATTTATAACCCAATGTAATTTTGTACTTTCAGACCAAATTGTGATTACTAATGGGTCAATACCAAAACCAATGAACACAGTTAAACCTAAAATTGAAACTACAACTACATTTAATGCTTTAAAGTCATACCCAGGGGCATTTAATACACATACTGATTTATCACCTACAGTTGTACTGATGCAATGTGCCCATAAATAAACTGAATCAAAGAAATCGTCCATTCTTTCTTCCATATAAAACTTTAATGATGCTGCAAATGTTAAATCGAATAATAGAATTATAATTGTGAATACAATTTTGGCCTAAAATTAAATAAAATATTAATAAAACTAAAAATTTAAATACTTTTTATAATTTAAATATTTCTCTTACATTAAAAAATAAAATGAGTCTATTTGGGGTCTTTAAATACATTTTAGTTACATTAATTACTGATAAAACTGAAAAAATTGTAATTAGAGCCATTGAAATAAAACTAGGTATATAAAAACAGAGGTATTGCCATACACCACCATTATCACTGGTAATCCAACAACCTGATGTTGCTACAGTTGCACCGTATTTACCTCCAAATGCTGGTAATGCTGTTAATAAAACTAAAACTGGCCAAAAAATCTTTCTGTATCTGTCAAAATGTTTCAATTTTTCTAAATTAACAAACTGATTAGTATAATGTACAATATATTTAATAACAATATTTATATACATACGCATTTTAGAATTCTTATAAAAATCTAATGTTATCATAGGAGCCCAAAAAATGGAGATAATTGCACCAAATTGAAATAAGAGACCTACAACTAAACACAAATGATCTGATTGTGATTTAAATCTACCCCTATCGTGAAGACTGCAGTTAAAGTCATCATCGGCACTCTGAATAAATAGACTAAAGCAAGTAAGCCATGTACCACATGCAAATGATAATATACTTTCCATACGTTGGGTTATTTTATTTGGAAGCACACCGAATGTTATAACCATAAATGAAGCGGCTAAAAATGATATGATTGTTAATGTCCAATTTGTTGCATCTAAACGTTTTAGTTTATTTTTTGGGTAAATATCGAATGGACAATCTATAATACAAGAGTCTGTTACATAATAATACAAGTCTTTGCCTTCTTTTACATAATCTTTTGCATTGAGCAGTGGTGCAGGGCAATATATGGTAGTGTTGTTTTGCTCAATTAAAAGATTTGTATTTATACATTGAACGGATATACTAAGGTTATATTCGCCTGGTTCTATTATTGAGTATTCTGTGCCATTCATCGGAAACATATCGATTCCGTTGCTATATGTTGAATTACATGATAGTGCTGGGAAATACTTTTCTATATATACTTTACATGGTACCTCCGATAATACTGTATGATAAAACAATAATATATTTATTTATAAGTATTTTTAATTTATTTTTTAATAATATGTGAAAATAAAACATACAACAAACATCGTGGCATGGTAAAGATGGTAAATAAAAATTTTTAGTTGTGCTGTCTGGTAATGTTTCTTCGACTATATTACATTTTGGGAAATTTTGTAAACAAAATATATAGGTTGCATTTGATTTACATTCTTTTGTTGTTAATTGTAATATTCCCAAATTATCTGATGCACTTTTATTAAGTGATTGAAATGTTGTGTTTGGTGGTAAATAAAACGATGTGTAATTTAAATAGGGATAGCAAACTGATGTTTCATTGAAAGGTTCGCAAGTCCCACCCAATTCAATTTCATTATTTTGTGAAACTGATTGATTAATAAATATTGTTAGTGATAAAAATATTAAAAAAATAATATGTGATCTATACATTATTAAAAAACAAAGAGACACGAAGGGTTTTTTTTGGAATTCTTTTTGTGTCTTGAAAAAAAAAAACAAAAAAAAAATAAAAAAAATAAAAAAAATAAAAATAAAAATAATTTATAAATATCTGTTTGGTTTTTTTTTATTCTGAATGAAAATTATTTTTTTATAATTCACAATTTTTTTTTATTTTTTTTTTATTTTTATTTTTTTGCTTTTACTTGCAATTGGTAACATTATTATAAAATCCAATGAATCCAATGTTTTTACTATAGCAATGTGGTATTTTTAAATATGAGAAGTGGTTTTTTTTTTTTTAAAAAAAAAAATATCTTTTAAAATCTAAGCATGGCGCTTCAGAAAAAAAAAGGCGCAAAATCCCGTATTATTATAATACCGAAACACAATTATTATTATTATTATTTTTACTGTAATTTTAATTAAACGAAATTTAACAAAAACAAATATGGTTTTTAAGTGGTCTATGGATAAGATTGATCAACAAAATAAAAAAAAAAAACATTAAAACATAATAAAAAATAAAATGAAATAAAATAATATTTTTTTTTATAAACCTAAAAAAAAAAAAAAAAAAAAACAATATTTAAAAAAAAAAAAAATGTTGAATTAAAAAAAAAACAATGTTTAAAGTTTTAATTTAAAAAAAAACAAATTGTTATTAAACGATTATCACTTTTACCGGGAGAACCATAAACAGTTGGTGGGTAAAATGAAAATGTAATATTGTCTGGATTTATTTCATTTCTACCTTTAATACTCATAAAAATTATATGGTTGTGTCCTGATGTGGTTTTTCTTTCACCAATACCATCTGGTTTTAAAGAAGTATTTTAAAAGAACTCAATATAAATAATTAAAAATAAATAAATAAAAACAAATTTGATATATTTTAAAACTATTAATTTTTTTTATTTTATTTTATTATTATTGCTATGTTTAAACTTTGAATAACTTTTTAATTTAAAAAAAAACAATGTTTAATTTAAAAAAATGTTTTACTTTTTTTTTTTTTTGTAATTTTAATTTATAATTTATTTATATTTGATTACTTTAAATTTTCTCTATATCTCCAGGGGTAATATTATTATTATTATTATTTCCATTGCTATCATTGTAAATATTATCACCAATATTTTCATTTGGAATTTTTGTTAATTTTATATTTTTGGAACTATTTCTTTTTTTTTCACCTGTATTATTACTATTATTATTATTACTGTTTGTACTAGAAGAGGAGGAGGTTGACAAATTAATATATTTTTTCAAACCTATTTTGTTTACAACCCAATGTAATTTTGTACTTTCGGACCAAATTGTGATTACTAATGGGTCAATACCAAAACCAATGAATACTGTTAAACCTAAAATTGAAACCTACAACTACATTTAATGCTTTTAAATCATACCCAGGAGCATTTAATACACATGCTGATTTATCACCCACAGTCGTACTGATGCAATGTGCCCATAAATAAACTGAATCAAAAAACTCGTCCATTCGTTCTTCCAAATAAAACTTTAATGATGATGCAAATGTTAAATTAAACAATAAAATAACAATTGTTAAAATAATTTTAGCCTATCAAAATTTGTAAAAAGGTATTAATAAAATAAAATTAAATTAAAATAGAATTATATTGTGACAAATGCTTACATTGAAAAATAAAATGAGTCTATTTGGAGTTTTTAAATACATTTTAGTGATATTTATGACTGATAAGATTGCAAATACGGTCATTAAAGCCATGGAGATCCAGCTGGGTATATAAAAACAGAGGTATTGCCATACACCACCATTATCGCTGGAAATCCAACAACCTGATGTTGCTACAGTCGCACCGTATTTACCTCCAAATGCTGGTAAAGCTGTTAGTATAACTAGCAATGACCAAATGATAATTCTATATCTACCAAAATGCTTTAATTGTTCTAAAATATAAAATATTAGTTTTTTTATCTTTTAATTATAATTAATAAAAACTTACGCATTTTAGAGTTAATATAAACTTCATATGTTATTACTGGACACCAGAAAATAGAGGTGATAGCACCAAATTGAAATAAGAGACCAACCAATAAACATAAATGATCTGATTGTGATTTAAATCTACCTCTATCGTGAAGGCTGCAGCTAAAATTATCATCAGCACTTTGTAAAAAGAGACTAAAACAAGTAATCCATGCCCCACATGCAAATGATAAAATACTTTCCATATTATGAGTTATTTTATTTGGAAGCACACCGAATGTTAATATCATATAGGTACAGGTAACAAATGATATAACAGTTAAAGCCCAATTAGCACCATCTAAAATCTTCATTTTATCTTTTGGGTAAATATCGAATGGACAATCTATAATACAAGAGTCAGTTACATAATAATATAAGTCTTTGCCTTCTTTTACATAATCTTTTGCATTGAGTAGTGGGGAAGGACACTCTATTTCATTACTGTTATTTTGTTTAATTAAAGCCTCTGTATTTGTACATTGAATGGGTATACTAAAGTTATATTGACCTGGTTCTATTATTGAGTATCCTGTATCGTTCATCGGAAACATATCGATACCATTGCTATATGTTGAATTACAAGATAGTGTTTGAAAAAACTTTTCTATATATACTTTACAGGGTACCTCAGATAATACTGAATAATGGATTTTATTAGTATTTATATAACTTTATATGAATATATAGTTATACAACTTACAGCAAACATCGTGGCATGGTAAAGATGGTAAATAAAAATTTTTAATTGTGTTGTCTGGTAATGTTTCTTCGACTATATTACATTGTGGGAAGCTCTGTAAACAAAATAAATAGGTTGCATTTGATTTACATTCTTTTGTTGTTAATTGTAATAATCCCAAATTATCTGATGCATTTTTATTAATTGATTGAAATGTTGTGTTTGGTGGTAAATAAAACGATGTGTAATTTAAATAGGGATAGCAAACTGATGTTTCATTGAAAGGTTCGCAAGTCCCACCCAATTCAATTTCATTATTTTGTGAAACTGATTGATTAATAAACAATGTTATAAATAAAATAAAAAATTTTAAAATTAAAAATTTATTCATTGTATTAAAAAAAAAATTAAAAATTAAGAATAAAATAAAATAAAAAAAACAAATTATATTTAATAAAGTATTATTATTATTTTTGGTTATTTATAACTATAAATTTGTTAAACAAATTATTCATACAATGTACTTAATACATATTACTTATAAAATATAAAAAAAAAAAACAAAAAAAGGGTAAAAAAGAAAAAAAATATTATAAAAAATAAAAATAATTGTGTAAATATAAAATTTTATAAAAAGATATTTATATTTTTTTTCGCAGTCTCAAGAAACTAAAATATGTATTGGGAGATCAAATTTTAAATTTTTAGCCCATTACATATATTTAAATTTTTTTAAGCTCTTTCAAAGAATCATTTGCTAAGAGTAAAAGTTGCAGGAAAATTTTATTTTACAATATTGAAAATTTTTTTTTTTTTTTTTATATTTCACACAAAAATAAATAAAATATCGATAAGAACAAAAATATTTTTTATTAATCATTTTTATTAATCATTTCGTAAAAAAATAAATATTTCATAAATGATTTAAAAAAAAAATAATTGAGGAAATTAAATATATGAAAAAAATGATTAAATTAAATGATTGATAACTTTTTTTTTTTTAATTTTTTTTTTTTTTTTTTTTTTTTTTTTTTTTATTTTTATTTTTTTTTTTTATTTTTATTTTTTTTTAATTTTTTATTTTTATTTTTTTCACCACAGTACACCATTTTTTTTATTTTTTTATTATTATCCACACACAACCATAATTTATTTAAAATAAAGAAAGAGAATGACAGATTTAAATATTCAGTTCCCAGCTGATTCTAAATTTACACAATCAGATAAAAGTAAGTATTTTAAAAATAGTTTAATTAAAAATTAAAAATTAAAAAAAAAAATATATATTAATATATTTATTATTTTATTGTTACTTTTAAAAAAGAAAATATTGAACAATATTTTTTAAATAAAAATATTAAAAATAAAAATATCTTATTTAGTGGAATATATACAGATTTAAAAAAGAAAAAAGTTTGGGATATAGGTTCAAAACAACAACAAGAAGAAGATAAAATATTAATAATATCATCATATAGATTCCATGTATTTTCATCAGCTACAGGTGGTAAATTGGTATTCGATGCACATATTTTAGAGTTATTAGATTATCAAATTGCCGATAATGAAAGTGAAGCAGTTTTAAAGTTTAATAATCAAAATATTATTGGTTTTAATAATTCAGAAAAAGTTGGTGAACTTTCAGTTGCAATTAAAAAAATGTTTTCATTAAATTTCCCAGGTATGCAACAAAAAGGTCAACAACAACAACAACAACAAGAGCAACAGGTTAGTCAATGCGGTGGCTTTTCACGTTCATATCGTTGTTGTTCAGATTTTTATGGTATTCAAGTTAGAGAAGATATATGTTGGGAAATTGATAACCTATTCGAAGCAAATAATATTAAAGATTTAAATTTAAGTGATTGGCCAGAACCACCAACTCCATCTCAAGGTCGTGCAATGATTGATGCTTTAAAGTATAATCAATGGTTTGAATCGATTACCGTGTTCAATAATCCATCATCATGTAAAATTGGTAATGATGGTATTCATTCGATTACTCGTGTTTTAGAGACCAATAAAAAGATTTCAAAGATTACTCTTCAAAATATTAATGCACGTGAATCTTGGATAACTCCAGAAACTTGGATGTCTTTAGCTTTCAGTAACTATCTCCATACAGTCGATTTATCAAACAACTCAATTGAAGATCGTGGTGTTCAATTCCTTTGTAACGATTGGCTTTCAAGTGTTAGTCACGAAATTCATTCGATCAATCTCTCTAAATGTGGTATTGGTAAACAAGGTCTTTCAAACTTATTTAAAACTTTTAAACAAAATAAATGGATCAGTAAAAATATTAAATTCCTTTCGATCTCTGGTAATCGTTTAGAAGAAGCTGCCGCTGATATGGTTACATTTTTAGCCGATGCTCCATCTCTTCGTCAATTCGAAATGGCCAACTGTCTCCCAACATGGTCTTCTTTAAAACCATCAAATTCAATTCAAAGATCAAAAGAAACTAGAATTATATCGAAATTAGATCTTTCTGGCAATCGTTTAAATTTAGCACCAGGTGGTAGTTTAGCAAATAAACAAATATCTGAACAGAATGCTAATGATCTCTCAGCTTTCCTCCAATTAATCGCACCAAATCTTGCTGATATTAATCTTTCATCCACTTTTCCACACTCCAATTCAATCTATACAATTCTTTCATCGATTTCAAATCTCATTCGTCTTGATCTCTCAGATAATGAGTTAGAAGAGGAGGGTATTGTTACATTGGTTGAAGTACTTTGCCATACCACACTTCCAAAACTTAAACATCTTTATATCAATCGTAATTTCACCATTAGCTCACCAACTGATATTATTTCAAAAACACTTCAACAAACATTATCACTTAGCAGAGTAACATCCAAGATCACTGGTAATGATACAACTAGTAGCAGTTCAGGTTCATCAAAAGAGTCAATTGCTAATGCCGTCAGATCACTTGTTAAACTTATTTCACCAGCTTCATTTGCATTATGCCCAATTGAAACTCTTCATATTGCAGGTTGTAATAATGGTCGTCTCAAATCTGAAATTATCCCATTGGCTCAAGCATTATTAAAGAACGATACCATCACTGAAATCGATATTAGTGGACACCATGCTGGTGATGATTTAGCAATTGCTTTAGGTCGTGTTATTCAAGTAAATAAAACCATTAAAACTTTATATTGGGACGAAAATCTTACAACTGTAGTAGGTTTAGAATACTTTTCAATTGGTTTCAAAAGAAATCAATCTATTCAACATATGCCTTTATTAGTTTTAGATATTGCAGAGTTCTTAAAGCAACCAGAAAATTCACCATCAATGCAAATGATTAAAGAACGTTTAAAACTTGTAGATACCACAACAACAGTTCAACAAAGGGTTACCCAATTAGCTTCTGATATCCAATCACAAATTATAAATAATAATTTAAGAAAAATGAAGGATGCTATTAATAAGGCAGTAACAAGAAAACGTAATGAGGCGGCAATTTCTAGTACAATGAATTCACCACAACCAAAATTACAACAACAACAGGTTCAACAACAACAACAAGTACAACAGGTACAACAACAACAACAAGAACCACAACAAATCGATTCACCAGTACAAACATCCTCTACTCCACCACAAAATGAACAAAAAGATGAATTTGTTGAAGAATCGCTTATTTAAACAAATAAAAAAAAGGAAAAAAAAAAAAACAAATAAAAAAAACAAATAAATATACAATCTTTTAAATTAAAAGATACAATATAGTCTATTTAATATTTTATTTATATTGTATTGGTTTTGTTTTTAATTATGATGAGGTAGACTATTATGTATTTTCTTGATGATAATTTATATAGTTTAGTACTTTTTGAACAGTTGTTAGTTTAGAAATATCATCCACTGGAAAGTCCACATCAAATTCTCTGTGTAACGCATTAAATAAATCCATTAACTTTCCCCAAGGACGTGTTAAAGATTGATCCATTATTAATGTTGTTCCATCTATTTTTTCTTTTTTTATTCCTAATTGTTTTGAAATTATTTTTTTAAGTCTTTCTTCATTGGTGTTTTTATCCTATTTTATAAATATATAAATTTGTTAATACTTTAATAGATATCTCCTTATTACTATCGCCTATATTATACCATTTTATAAGTTTTAATGTTGAATTTTAAATTTATAATATGATAAAAAAAAATTTTAATTTTTTTGTGTTTTTTTTTATTAAAAAAAAAAATAGTTTAGAGTGTAGGTGTGGGTGTGGTTTTTTTATACTTGGTTAATCTATTCTAAATAAATAAATAATGAAAGTATAAAATAGTTTTCCATTTTCTATATTTGTTTCAAAGGAAGATGTGGATTTAGATATAAATTGATTTAAATTTATTGAAATTCTTTTATTGTTCATAGGATATTATTAAAATCTTGTAAAATTTTAACTTAAATTTTATTAAAATTATTTCCTAATAAAAAAATATATAAATTAAAATGTAAACATTGTTAAATTTTATTGAATATTTAATTATTAAATCTTATTTTTCATTATAATGAAACAAATATAATAAAAAGGAAAATTAAATAAGTTAAACATTTATGGAGAAATAAATATTAAATAAGAAATAATTGGTATTGAAAATATTGACTATATTATTAAAAGAGGATAAAATTAAAATTCTAAAAAAAAGAGATTCCCAATTTAAATTATTTATGAAACTGATGATTCTGTATTTTTATAATAAATTGTATTGAGATTTCACCCAAAATTTTTTTTTAAAATCAATCATATAAATAAAAATTTTTGTATAAAAATTTCACTTTAGAGGTTTTATTTCTTAAATCTCATCGATTACTCTCGTATATTCGATATCATATTCAGCATGATAAACTAATTACCCAATTATTAAATTTTTAAACTTTTTTTTATATTCCATATTATTTTTTTATAAATAAAAAAAAAATTTTAAGATTTAATTATTTGTGTGTGTTTTTTATTATCGTTTTTTTTTTTTTACTAGGATATTTGGATTTTTTTAATTAATAAAAGATACCTTATTGTTTAGATTAGATAATTATAATATTCATAAGGATTATCTTATGAAAAAAAAAATTTGTCATAATACAAAAATTTGTTTTAAATACAAAAAAAAAAATTAATTATATTATTTAATCTATTATTAATAAAGGGTTTGGAAGGTTTAGAATAAAACATGTTTTATTTTTATTAAATATTTTTTTTTTTTATAATTTTTTTTTTTTTTAAAATTTTCTATATATTTATAAAAAATATATATAATTTTTTTTAATTAAATATATAGAGATAAATGAATAAGAAATTTTTTGTAGCAGGAAAAAATAGGAATAACCAACTAAAATTAGAGTATGAAGTATTGGGTGAAGGTAAAGAAAAAATTATATTTTTACCTGGTATACTTAGCACATCATGCACATGGAAAAATCAAATTAACTATATAACAAAACAGTATCCTCAATATCAAGTTGCAAGTTTCCATTATAGAGGTATAGGAAATTCCGATTTTCACCAAGCAGCAAAAGGAATGAGAGACCATTCGCTGGATCTTCTCGACTTTATAGAACACTTAAATTGGGACAAGGTTCATTTAGTAGGAAATTCATTTGGCTCACAAGTTGCGTTCGATTTTGCAGTACATTCAAAGAGTAGAATTAAATCATTATTGTTATCGTCGATGAAACCACCTCACAAGAACTATATTTTAGAAGTTTCATTAATACTGGACTCTATATATAAAAATGATTTAGAATCATTTCAAAGTTTGTTTTTTTCACAAGATTTTTTAAATTCAAAAAGTAGCGATGGTTCCACTATAAAAGATAAACTACAAGGTCCTTTATTAAAACAGCTAAAAGAAAGATATTTAATGCCGAGAGAGGTATTAAATGATCAATTTAAATCAACATTTAACTATTTACTAACCAATGAGGATGTCATCAAAGTAAAAAACAGGGATTTTCCAATATCAATAGTATATGGATCTAATGATGCTATCTATCCATATAGAGACACTTTAAAACTATTAGATATAATCAAACCAGATTCATTTTCAATTTTTAACGGGTGCGGCCATGGTGTGCCAAACGAAAGGTTCAATGATTTCAATAAGGAGCTAATAAAAACTCTGAATTTAAAAAGATCACCTAATGTAATGGAAATTTCCATTTATAAAAATATTCATAATAACAACAACAATACAAATAATATAGAAAATAACCAAATAATCCCCTTCAAAGACAACAATTTAAATAACACCTTTTACTCTTTAAAAAATGTTGTGGAACCTGCTAATCCAATACACAATGAAAAATATTCATTGGCACTAAATTTTTTAAAAAATTTTAAAAAAATAAAATAGGAATTATAAAAATAAAATCAACATCGATTTTATTTGTAATTTTATAATATTATAATATATTATTATTATTTTATTTTCTTTTTTTTGATGAACTGCCATGAGATGGTACTGCCTGTGCATGGTTTGTTTCTTTAATATGTTGGAATAATTTATTTCTTGTTGGAAATTCACCTTTACAAACATTACAAAATAATGATTCGCCTTCTTTTTGCTGTGATTGTTGTTGTTGTTTCTTTTCTGCTTTTTTTTCTCTTTTTTCTTTTGCTTTACCCTTTTTAGGTTTTTCTTTAGTTGTAGTAGTACTAGATTTTTTGTTTGATTTTTTTTCATTATCGCTATCTTTATCATCCTCATCGCTGTTTTCATCTTCTTTTTCACTTTCTTTTTCGCTATTAAGTTGTTTTTTCTTTTTCTTTGATTTCTTTTCTTCTGCCTCTTCTTCTTCGTCCTCGTCCTCTTCCTCCTCTATTTCTTCTTCACTATCACTATTACCATTATCTTTATTATCATTATCATTATTATTATTACTATTATTTGGTTGATTCTTATTTATTCTAAAATTTTTTAACAAGGAATTTACCAACATTTCATCTTCGTCATCATCTGAAGCCAAATCTTGATCACTATTTTCTTTTTCTTCTTCTATAACTTCATCTTCGGATTCTTCTTTTTTCTTTGATTTGGTTTTTTTTGTTTTGTTTTTAACTAGACCATGTACATATTCGTCACTATTGCTATTAAACATATTTGAGTTGATCACTTTTTTAGATTTCTTTTTATTCTTTTTGTTCTTTTTATTTGATTTACTGTTGCTAAAACTAGTATTACCTTCATCATCATCATCATCATTTTCAATATCGCTACCTTGATTATTGTTTGATTCTGGTGATAACTCTTCATCATCTAATGTAATTGTCTTTCTAACTCTGGCCAACTCTTGCTTGTGTTTATTTGAATTTTGATGGTTTTCAAGTTGTTTTTCTGATTTGAATGCCTTGTCGCAAATTACACAATAACAACTATTTGATTCATCTTGATATAGAGTATTATTTTCATAGTCATCGATTAAACCATCTTTTTTCATTTGTTCATACTCTAAACGCTTTTCTTCTTTGTGCTTTTTAATTGCCTCTTTTCTTTCTTCTTCCTCTTGCAGTTTTTGAATTTCAAGTTCCTTTTGTTTCTTCTCAGCCTCTTCAGCACATTTCTTTTGGTACTCTTGAATTCTTTTATCGTGATTGTAAATGAATGATGCCAAATGTCTAACTTTTTCATTAAATTGTTGTTTAGCTCTATTTCTTTCTTTTTGATTCTCTTTTTCCATTAAACGTTTAATTTGACGATTTGGAGCTTCGGATAAATGATAGATATCAGCATTTGTAAACTTTTTCTTTGTGACAAAATCTTTCCAATAGCCATAGAACTTGAGTACTTCAGCAATAGGTGTCTTGCTATTACCAAATTGTGGTGGTTGGAAATGATATTTTTCTTCATCGACAGATTCTTCCTCTTTATCAATGGCACTGAAAATTCTTGAATAAACATTATAAAAACTATTATCGTCTGTATCTGAATAATTTGTGAAACAAGATGCATTAAAGTATGGCCATAGATTAATATCGTCATCATAATCACCATCGTCATTGGCACCGCCTCTACCACCACGCAAAATTGATTCTCTGTGATCATCGTACCATTTTCTTTCGTTTGGATCTGATAAAATTGTATAAGCATTAACAATCTCTTTGAATCTTTCTTCAGCGATATCAATTTGATGTTGATTTTTATCTGGATGCCATTGTAATGCTAATTTTCTGTATGATATTTTAATTTCGTCTTGTTTTGCCGTTTTTTCAATACCTAATACTTCATAATAACATTTGATTTTCGTTGCCATCGCTGCTGTAAAAGGGTGACGATTGTTTCTTTAATTTTTTTTTTTTTTTTTTTTTTTTTTTATATTTTTATAAATTAGGTATACTAATTTTATTTTAAAGTTTAAATACAAGATAGATTAATCTTATAAATAAATTTGAACAAATAATTTTTTTTTAAAAAAAAAATATTTTAAAAAAAGTAAAAAAAAAAAATAATTAAAAATTAAAAAAAAAATAAAAAAATAAAAAATTTTTTTTTATTTTAATTATTATTTTAATTTTCTCCAAAAAGTGTTTTTGTGTGGTGTTTCGAAACAGTAATATTACATTTGGTATATAAAAAAGGAAATAATAAACAATATTCCACAAAACTATGAATATAAAAACTGTATCATTTAAATTACCAGAAACCATCAATGGTGAGGATTTATCAGAATATTCATACATCAAAGCAGAGTCTCCATCACCAATTAAATTAATTGTGGTCGCAGGCAATCCTGGTATTATAGATTTTTATTCCGATTTTATAAAAATTTTATTTTTATCATTAAATGGAAAATATGATATTTATTCAAGTAAGCATATTATAAAACAAATAATATAAATAATAATATAAATATATTTATTAACAATATTTTTATTTTTATATAGTTGGACATTTAGGACATTGTGGTAGAATTGAAAAAGTATTTTCTGTTGAAGAGCAAATCAAACATAAAGAATTATTTTTGGATTATTTATTGGAGAATGATTTTAAAGAAGGTAGAGAAGATGTTAAATTTATATTACTTGGCCATTCAGTTGGCAGCTATATTTCACTAAAGGTTGTAAATAGATACAGCGATAAATTTAATTTCATTTCCGTTTGCAATTTATTCCCAACATTTAAAAACCTTTATGATGGTTTGTCACCATTCATCAAAATGGTTGTAATGAGGGAATCAACAAGATCTGGATTTTCAACATTTCTACATTATATACCAAATTTAATGAGACATGCCATATTACGTTTTATATTAGCTGAGAACGATTCGAGAATTTCTGTAAATGAAAAAATAAACTATTGGTCCGCTCTAAATATTTTATACATGGCCTATACAGAAGCTTTGGACATTAAAGAAATTGATGACGAATGCCACAATGTTTTCAAATCTCGTTTAAATCAATTGTTATTTATTTATGGTCAAACAGATAACTATACACCAAAATCATTCTACCAAGAGATGAAAGACATGTATCCAAATGGTAATATCGAGTTTGCCTCTGCCAATATTCCCCATGCATTTGTATTGCATCACTCAAAAGATATTGCCCTAAGAGTATCTGAATGGTTAAAAAGCAATATTTTAAATTTAGAAAACTAATAAAAATATTTTATTTTAAAAAAAAAAAAAAAAATTTTAAAATATTTGTTTTTATTATTTTATAAAATTATAATTACCAAATATATCCAATCTTGTTTTTCTTTTCCTTTTTTTTTTTTTCTTTTTTTCTTCTTTATTTTTTCTTAAATTTCTTAGATTTACAGGTATATGTAAGAAAAAAAAACAATGTTTTAATTATATTTTTTTTTTTAATTTTTTTTTAATTTTTTTTTTTAATTTATATTTTTTTTAATTTTTTTTTTATTAAAAATAAATAAACAATATTGTGTTATATTTTAACAAATAATAATGGATGAGTTGGCTAGAATTAGAAGAGAAAAACACAATCAATATTTACAAAAAAAAGAGGAAGAGGCTCAATTTGTAGTATTACAACCACCTACACCACCACCAGTTGTAGAACAAGATGAACAATTCCCACAAGAAGAAATAGAGAATGATACAAACATAACCACTACCACCACTACCACCACTACTACAGATAATCAAATAGAACAAGATATTGATGTTGAGAATGAACAACAAGAAATTAATGGTGGCGAGGATGAGGACGAGGATGATGAAATTCTTCAACCTAATGGTTTCCATCACGCACACCCAATTGGGAATATGCCTATATATAATAATAATAATATGAATCATCAAATTGGTTTTACAGGTTCACATCACTTTGGAATTGGTATTGTTTATTTAAAATTTAAAAAAAAAAAAAAAAAAAACAATAATACTCCAATACTAATATATTTCAATTACCAGGTTATAATATTTCGCATGTACATGGATACCAACCATTTGGAGGATCAGGTCAACAATTAACAGGTAATGGAATATATAATACAAATGATGTTTTTTCACAGGGCTATGAAGGAAATCCATTTAATTTAGAAACAGAACATCCTGAACCTCAAGAACCTTCATCGTCAGAAGAAAAAAGAGCTACATTCTTATCATCGATCGAACATAGATACGATAAATCACCAGATTTCGTCGAAGAAAATATGAAGAGAGATTCAAAGAAAAAAGAATTTAGAATTCCATTAGAAAATTTCAAATCTTTAGTTCATTTATGTCTTTATAAAATGTCATTGGATTTAACCCCATTCCAATCGAAACTAAAGCTATTATCTGGTGATCTTATCCGCCATCTAATTGAAGTTATGGCCAAAAACAATCGTCTTACTAGAACTAAATTAAATCAAATTCTTTCAAGTGGTGTCAGAGTTTTTAAATTAGATTTAAGCAACCAATCACTAATTGTAAACAATGACTTTTTACATAATTGCTTTAGATATCTTGTTGAAGTTCAAGATGTTAACTTTTCAAATTGTATAAACATGACAGGTATGTTCCATGTATAAATACTTCATAATATTTTTTATCACTGTTATTCTAATTTGTATTTTTTTATAGATTATGGTCTAGAAGTTTTTAAAAATGAAAAATTCCATAGAAATTTAAGAGTTTTAGATTTAAGACATAATAGAAATCTTACTGATGTTGGTTGTAAAAATTTAAAGAGTATGATTTTTATTTTATAATTTATTTAGAGATATGTAGTTTATTAATATTTTTTTAAATTTTAGATTTAGTTAACCTCGAAGAATTATACCTTGGCAGCACATCAATTAGTGATTTAGGTGTTGCATTCTTAAAACAATTAGTAAATTTAAAAACATTAGATGTATCAAGATGTAAAATAACAGATAATGCAATGGTTACAATTTCTTTATTTTCAAAACTTACTTTATTAAATTTAAGTGAAACTCAAATTACCGATGTTGCAATATCAAATATTCATCAAATATTAACAAATATTCAATATTTATATCTTTCAAACTGTCAAAAATTAACAAACAAATCTTTATTCTTTTTAACATGTAAATATATATAAATACAATATCAATTTATATTTCATATTTTATTAACTATTAATCTATTATTTAAAAACTATTAGATTTTTCGAAAATGAGATTATTAAGTATTACTGGCACACAAATTAGTTTAAATGGATTTGTACATTTAAAAAGATTACCAAATTTATTATATTTAGAATTACCAAATAGATATTGCCTCAATGACCAAACAATTGTATATTTAAATAGCTTAACAAAATTAAAGAAATTAGATTTAACAGACTATACCTATATTACAAGTATTGAACCATTAGATAATTTGAAATACTTGGAGGAACTTTTATTAGCAAATACAAGAGTAGGTGATTCATCAGTTCCAGCAATCAAAAAAATGAAAAGTTTGGAAGTATTATCTTTGGATAGAACCGATATAACAAGTGCAGGTGTAGCAGGATTGGTAGATTTGAATTTAAAGTCACTTTCACTTATGAAAACCAAAATCGACGATGACTCTATAAATTATTTATCGGAAATTAAATCACTTAGACAATTAAATATTTCACACAATAACATCACCCATAAAAATATAGAAAAACTCAAAGATATAACCAATCTCAACTCTTTAGATTTAAGAGGTACTGATACTTTAAGATCACTTTATATGTTTGATAGTATCTTAAAAGTACCATTAAAAAAGGTTTTAGAAATTATAAATAATGAACAAAATCAAAATAATAACAACTTTTTAAATTTTGGTCTAAATGACGAAGAGGAATAAATATGCTATAAAATAAAATCAATAAAAAAACAAATTATAAAAAAAATAAAATAAAACGGAATAAAATAAAATAAATGTAGTTTTAAAATTTAATGTTAAAAAATAAAATTAACTTTTGTATTTTTTATTATTACATATATATTTCTTTTTTTATTAAAAATATGTTATATTATTAATACCGATAGAATAACCATAAATAAAAATACATAACTATAAACATCTCTATGTTTAAACGAGGGGCTGCTACTTGTTAATTCTGGAGTTGATATTTTTTTACTTGGGATTTCTGAGCAGTTATTTACATTATTTATTACATTTAATAAAGAGCAATTAATTCCTATACATGAGTCGCATGCATATTCATGTATGGTTTTGGAACCACCATAACAAAATCTTTTTATATATTCATTCTCCTTTGGTAAATATTTACATGTACCATTCCTAAATGAATGAATTTTTACTTTATCACAATCCCCAAAACTATTATTATTTCTGTTACTACTGCTACTACTATTGTTATTGTTATTACTGTTACTGTTACCGTCACTGTTAAAAAATATATATTCATTACAAAAATCATCGACCAATGATGGTTCATTATTTTCACTATAGGTATAAAATTGTGAAAAACCAAATTCATTAGGTATACATTCATTTATTTTAATAAAGTTATCAATTTTTCTTGATGATGAGCATTCTGTGTAATTTGAAACTGCAATTCTTGCCAAAAGATTTCTGTTTCCTGCCAATTGAAAATAACCCATAATTGAACATTGTGGAACACTATTTATTTCATCTGATTCTCCTTCGCAGAGTAGATTATTATATTTAAAAACCTTTATTTCGAATCCATTAAGTACTGTTATTATTATTAAAATTAAAAAAAAAACCAATTTCATTTATATTTATTTATAGTTATTGTTTTTGATTTTTTTAATTTTTATTTATTATTAAAATCTATAAAACTAAAAAAGCAAACTATTAGTATTTAGTTTATTTTTTTTTTTTTTTTTTTTTTTTTTTTAGATTTATTATTTTTATTCACCCAATTACCACATACATGCAGGATTAAAATTTTAGATATTTTTATATAAATCAATTGAAAAATATTATTTTATTATTTTAATAATTAATATTACTATACAAATAAAGTAAAAATTTTAATATTTTAAATATTAATAAAAAAAAAAAAAGAAAAAAAAAAAAGAAAAAAAAAAAAAAAAAATCATCATCATCAATAAAAATTCCACTTACATTATATCGCCAGTGTAGTATTATTTTTTTAATTTTGTAAATCTAATAGTAATTTGGGATAAAAATAAAATATAGATAATTATTTATAAATATAATAAATAAAAAATAAATAAAAAAATAATACATATGTATTTATATTTAAAAAAAATAAATAAAAATAAACAATTTAAAAAATAAAAAATAAAATTTACCCACAGACACACACACACACACAGACTTGAGTGAGTGAGGGAAGAAAATAAAATTTTAATACTTGTTTTTTTTTTTTAAACAATTATCTATCTCTCATATGCTTTAGTCATATCCTTCAAAACAAAACTCACCCCCACCACCCACACTGACAACATATAAATAAAACTATCAACATAAAATTTTAAAATGACAATATATGTGAATAGAGGGTTTAATAGTGAAACTTAAAAAAATTAATAATAATTCTTAAACAAAGAAATATATTTAATTTTTTAAATCTGTCTCTTATAAAATACTATCCATTGAAATACTGGTGATAGTATACAAATATAATTTTTAGGTACAATCGTAAAAATTTAAATTTAAATAAAAATAAATCTCAAATTTAAAAATTTCTTCTTTTCTAATTCCTCTCCATGTTTTTTTTTTCTATAAAATTTTAATAACTATATTGATTATAAATAAAAATAATTATGAAAGATGTTAATTTTTTGTTATAATTAAATGAAAACTATTTTTTATTTTTATATTAAAATAAATAAAAGAGAAAATGATATTATTAGGCTAAAATAAAATTTGAGAATTGAAAAATTTTTAGATGAATCATTTCTGTTACGATTGTATGTGTATGGTGAAATAGTACTATTATTATGTTCGGTACTTGTTTGAGTTTCGGGATCATTAATAGCTTTATTTCCATTTATTGCTCCCATGGTTTCATTATAAGTTGAATGGTGTGTTTGAGGGAATGGATTATAACTTGGCTGTAACTCTACACACTTGGATACATTGGATGGATATGATTCCTTAAGTATACAACTGGTGTCATTACAATTTCCTGTACATCGGTAAACATTGATAATATCTTTTTTATTGGAGCAATCGTATCTTTGAAAAACGCCATCGAAATTTTCTCTAATGCATGTATTATTTTTAAATGATTTGATATAATTGTTTTTACAATCGATTATATCTACTTCGTTACAAAAATCATCCAATAATGTTGGTGATGTTTTTTCATTTAATATATATTTGTATGATGTTCCATCTTTATTTAAATAACAGTGGTGTAATTCTACAAACTCGTTAATTTCCTTTTCTTTTGTACAATCTTTAGTTGTATTGTTAACTTTGGTAATTGCGATTCTATTATCGATGGCGACTTGAATAAATCCGAAATTAGAACAATTTGACGCCGCTATTATATTTAACGGTAAATCTCCACAATATAGATTGTCATATTTTAAAAGATACACCTCAAATGAATAACCATAATTTACAAACAATACTAAAAATACAAAAATTAAATATTTTATTTTATAGCTGTAAAAGTTTATAAATTTCATTCTTTTTTTTATTGATTGTTACTATTATTTAATTATTATTTGAGGATTTTTATTTTATATATAAATTAAATATTTAAAAATCCAAATTATAATTAAAAAGAAATAATTAAATTTTTTAATGTATAAAAAAAAAAAAAAAAAAAAAAAAAAGGTGGGGGAATAAAATACCAAATATTATAATTTAAATGAATATTATTTGGTATTTTTTTA